AGACAGCCTCTGAGGCTGAAACTCATAAGCATGAAGAAATAGAAGAGGAGGACGAGGAAGAGAAGGATCCAGAGAAGTCTCTTGTTGCGTTAGAGGAAGGGAAGAGAGGCAGCAGCAGAAGCTTTAGAGCTTTTCCTGTATTCAAGGAGCCAGAGAGTGATGAAGATGAGGAAAGCAGGAGAGAGAGAGGGAAAGGGAATGTTGAGAAATGGCTTCATATCTTACTGGAGAAAAACAGCAGCAAAGAAGATCTTGAAACCGAAAGAAGCAAGAGCATTGATGAGATGATTGAGAAACTTGACCACAAGTTCCCTCTACTTGAAAAGGTCAATGAAGATGAAGAAGCGGAAACGCAGTTGCAGGCTGAGGAGACAAACAACAACAACAACAACAACAAAAGCAAGGAGGTGGAAACAAGAAGTGAAAGCTCTCGTAGAAGCAGAAAGAGTTTTGATTTGAAGAACACACCAGAGAAGAGTGGCAGAGAGAAAGTGGTGAAGAGATCAGAGAGCGCCAGAGCCTTCAGAAGGATTCCATCTTCTCCATCAATCCTCTTTGGAATGAAAAAGGGAATTGACTGCATCAGGAAGAAGCCTGTGGTTTCAGGTCAGGACGATGAGAACGATTATCTCGTCAAGAACAACTTCATCAAATCATCTCTCCAATCAATCAAACGAGCTGTCAAATTTTAAGACTTACACATCTTCATAATATGCATTTGTTTTAGTGTGATTCATTCATTTCTTGTTTATATAAAAAAGACTTCCCCTATTGTGTAATAATAACACCTTGTTGTGTTGTTTTTATTTTCTTCAAGACAGAGATTTTCTCCACCTAGAAGGTGTTGTTCTTCCTTTGACAAGCCTTGTCTTCATATTAGTTCCAGGAGTCTGAGGCTCAAATCCTTCACCTGATTCTTCCTCACCATGATGCATCGTCTTCTCAACACCAACACTTGCTCTAATCCTCTTCCACCGGAAAAACCCTTTACTCCCACCACCGCTCTTCTTCTCCATAAGCTTCTCCATCTGCAAATGCATAGCACCGCACTCGCTCTGCAGCCTCGCCACATCCTCTCTAAGCCTTCTTATCTCTGCTTGCTGAACATTAATCTCCCGTTTAGACAAGCACCGCGCCGCAGCAGAGCCCTGCTCGAAGTAGTGTGAGCCAGAAGGGTTTGTTGGAGTAGGACTCCTCGTAGTGCTGGTTATAGAGCTACCACTCCAGTCAATGTGACGGCTTAGCTTTGTCTGCTCAGTGAACAACACTCTCATGATTGCTCTCACCGGTAGACGATCGTTCTGAGCTGCGTGGAGTGCCGCTTCCGGTGATAGCTTCCTGCTGTCAATAACTCTGCAAAGTTCCTTCCTTTCTTGCTTCAACACTTGAGGATGAGCCTGAAAAATTGAGTCTTTTAAGAATCGAATCGAATCGAATCTCAGTTACAAATTTATAAGCTTTTTGATTATTATTACCTTAAGATATGTATCAATGGCTCGGTAGAGGCCGTCCTCTGTGGTACGAGCATAGCTAGGCAGAGCTTCGATTAAGGAAATAAATTCCTGTAGAGTTAAACCACCGTCTACGGCGGCTTCGGCGAGGTAAGAGTCAACAAGCTTAGCCACTTTAACGAGGGCTGCACCGGTTTTGACACCTTCAGTGTCTAATCCGGCGAATTTCTTCACGAGGCGAGTCACGAGCTCGACGTCGAGCAATGTTTTGCTTGTGTAGCTGAAGGAAGGTATCAATAGCTCCTTGAGCGAGGCTTGGTCGAGCTGCCATGATACTCTGGTTTCAAGCTCCGTTAGGTAATTCGGATTGGCTCCGACCATTTTCGCCGTCCTGAGGAGGCGGAGGAGGAAATTGCAGGGAACGGCGTCTTTCTCCGGAGGGAGGATTCCGATTAGGGTCTCGACGAAGAACCGTTTCTTCATCAGAGAAGACGTGACGCTCTCCGGGTGAGGATGGTCGCTGGGGTTTTTCGATCCGACGGAGGAGACGTTGCCGGAGAGATCGGGGAGCCATTTGGAAGCGTAGTGAGCGATGATGGAGCCGATGAGGTCTGGCCGGATTCCTTTGGATTTGATTCCGGCGATGGTTTTGACGAAATAGTTCATGTCTTGGATACAAGCGTCGTCGAACCAAGAGTAGTATTCCATATCTCCGACGAAGGTTTCGTTGCGATGATGAGACGGGTGGTTGCTGTAGATGGTGACTGGTTCCGGCGAAGGTGTTTTCTTCATTTTCACCGTGAGCTTGATTTTGCAGTAGTGTTAATAAAGAAAGCAAAGTGATGGTCTTTTACGTTTGGTTAAGTTTTTTTGCTCCAAAAGCTCATCACAGAACGTAATCATGACTTGGCGCAAAATTCCAACACAAAGAACAACGTTTTGGAATATTTTGAAAATACCACTGTTTCTTCGTCTTCACTGAAATTTAATATATATCCATTATCCAATATATCAAAGTTATTATTATTTTGTTACTGTATAGCTTATATAATTGACTATATGGTAAAGTTTGTCTATTTTCTTGTATATATTCCGTGTAAATTATTGAATAGGCGAAGTTATTTAGTTGCTATATTCAATTGTATATATGTATTCATAAAAGTTTAAAACATTGTTCGAGTATACTATATATTGTTTCTACTAAACATAAAATGAAGGTTACTGAATCATACGAGCTTGTCCAACAACAAAAAGGATATGCATGTATAGATAATGTCAAATTACTATTGAGAGTTCTTGCCTGTATAGTATTTGTTATATATGCTAAGGTGGACTAACGTTTATTCAGAGATGATATGAATGAATCATGATCGTCATGTTAGAGGACTGAGAGGCTGTGGTGGAAGATAGAGATAAGAGAAGAATGAAGACAAAAATCCTCTTGATTTGCCAAATATATTTAAAACAATAAATTTATTACAGATGGAATATTGATCAATGCATAGACGTGTCTTATTCTCTGCGTTGCTATTGGTAATTGTATTCTAGTGATATCGATTTATTGCTAAAACAAACGATTTTTACAGTATTAGTTTTGATTTAGACTGTAAATTCCCAACAATATAGTGAAGTGTTGTTTTTGGTCTAAAACAAACAGAAACTTTGCTTTGTACTTATTGTTTGATGAATTTCCAAACAAAAGCTGTTTTTTTTTGTATAGAAAAGATTCAACAATTTATGTAACACGCAGAGTATATTCATTCATGAATGACTGCAGTTTTTGACTGTAAAAAGAAACTAACGAGGTGAGCTTATATTATGTATCTAGCTAAAAAAGACAAATAAATCATAGTCTTCTCTGTTCCGCTCTTTTGTAATATCCTTCTCTCCATGTGGTTTTGTAGATGAAACGACAATGAATGGTCCCGTTTTAGAATATCGTGAGTCATGACCATCAGACCATGCCGATTGTCTTATCACACAACCATACGTACATGCCAAAAATAAGATTCTCTCTCTAGCTTTTCTTTTTGTTCCCATTGCACATTCACATGATCACATCACATCACATCATTAATGTGCGATGACACACCAACCGGTTAAGCCCATTCAAGGCCTATACCGACTCCCCTTTACCCAAACTAATGAGAAGAAGCATGCCAAAAGGTTTGTCTGGCTACACTAATATTGAAAAGGTTTGTGGAATCCACAATTTTCAGTTTTTTTCTGTTACGCACATTGATACGTCTTAAACCCACTCAGGGATTCGATCTATAGAAGGATGAACAATGATGAGAGAGAGAGATCGCTTTATGGAAATAAAATTAGGAAATGAGATTGTAGTAGAAGAGATTTTGCATGGATGAACAAAGTCTTAAAGGATAAAACAAGCAGCAGTCACATAAGCTTACAAGTGTGTTTGTGTCTTTTGATGTAGCAAACAAGCATATATTAAAGTGTATATGTACAAACATTCATTTGGTTCAACCGAAGGTTTTCTCACTGCTATAGCACATGTAAACGAATCCATCTTTGTCTTTGTAAGTCTCGTAGACCGAATCCATTAGAGCAGCTGCATAGAGAGAAAGAGTAAGCATGACACATGAAATAACTTCTTGCTTAGAAAGCCCTACAATTAAAAACCCAGTTGCATATAGCCAGATACTCACCTGTTTGAAGCAGAGTGTTATTCACGAACACGAATAATGCTTTGCCAGGAGACAGTTGTAATCTAGCACTCAAGATGTAGATGAATTGGCCAACAGACATATCTCGTGGAACTAGGAACCTAAACATTTGAGAAACCAGCTCAGATAATTTCTTCCCAAGAACATCCTCATATATATATACAAAAGTGATCACTCTGAAATTCATCAGCTATTCAACTCCTAAACATATGCATGAGTAATTTTAAGGTTACTGCATAAATTGAAACGAGAAATTTTAAGGTTACTGCATAAACTGAAACCAGATCAACAGTATATCAAACAAGTCATGAGCTAAGCAAAACTATGACAAAGAGATGATGAAAATACAAGTCAAGATGAAATTTTTACTTCTTCTTCTCGATTGCAGGAAGATCGGTTTTGCAATACTTCTCAGCAATTACCTGCAGAATTATCAACACACCGTAGAAGCGAAATCATTGAGTTCCAATTTCAGAGGGTTAATTGAATGTATAAACAAATTAGATCGTCTTGTTCACATCCGATAATTTAATTATAAGATTATAATAGACTTACTGGAATCCGAGTAGGGTACTTAGCGAGTATTTCCTTCGATTCCGCGAGCCTTTCAGCTGCAAAATATGAGATAAGGTAATTGAGCATTTCAATTTTCAATTTTCGATCAACTAGAAACCAATTAGCAGATCGATCCGTGAAATAGCCACGAACCTAACGTCAATTCTTCCTTGAAAGATTTCATCTTCGACAAAGACCACCGCAGGTTTGTTCGTCGTGTCGTGTCGCGTCGGTGTGTGCTTCCCCTTGTCTGGAAGAGACGAACTCAGGCGAAGATAGAAATTAAACCGGTTGGTTAATAAGTGCCAGATTAAATATATGATTACTGTTGAGTTAGGCGAAGATAGAAATTAAACCGGTCAACTACTTAACTCAACCGGAATAACAAGTGCCAGATTCAATATATTATTATTGTTGAGTTACGTAGTTAACAAACAAGCGGGGATAGCTCAGTTGGGAGAGCGTCAGACTGAAGATCTGAAGGTCGCGTGTTCGATCCACGCTCACCGCATTTATTGTATATATTTTTATATTTTGTACATAGACCGGTTCGGTTTTCGTCTCAGATTTGTATACTCGATTTGTTACAGGCCGAAACATGGTTTAGCTTTAGCAGTCCAATACATTTTAATCGCTTTAGTTTCTTCCTTACGGTTAGATCCAACTCCACTCTTGCGTAAATCACATTAAATTAAAGGAAAACGAATCCTCTGTTTCTTCTTCTCTAAACTTAGCAGCACAATACACAGGACATATATAGTCACTCGTCAAGTAAAACAGAAACTGGAGTCTTTCTAAATGGATCCGCCTGAGCCAGTTTCGAACCAAGAGCCCAATTAGGGAACACATTATCTGCCTTCATTCTCTCTCTCATTCCATAAGCATGAGTCTTACCGTTGAGATAAGCCAAGAGAAGAGCTTCATACTGCATAAGCTGAGCTGCATAGCCATCCCTTTTCATCCTCAGGAAAACCTTCTCTGCGTTATGAAAATCGCCTC